AGGGCAATACTGGAAATCTAGTCCAGTTCAAAGATTCAATTAATCCTACACTGTATGTGCCTAGGGTTTCACCCTGGCAGCTGAGACAGGCCACCCCAACCGACTTGGTGGCACAACAGTGTCAGCCTTATCGGGATAGGTCTCACCAGACTGACCCACTGGCTGTGAACATTCTAAACTAACACGAGTCTCATTAGGTGTCCAGTTTAAGGGTATTACACAAAAACATACCAAGGGAACATGAATGAAATATGTACTTTTATTCATTTACAATAAACTCATAATGTACATCATTCTGATTGAAGCTAAGGGCATACAAAACTGTCTAACAGTCTTCAATCTGGGTTGAACAAGCGAAGGAGGAGAAGAGAGCTGACCTTCCTCTTCATTCCTAGCACTTCCATTCCACCCTTCTCTTCAAAATTGGTTGGAGAAACGACAAAGAGGCCGGCGAAGAAAGGTTGGAGAAATGATAGAGAGGCCAGCAAAGAATGGTTGGAGAAACGGTAGAGAGACCGATGAAGAAAGGTGGTAAGCGTCTCCCCAACATCTCTAGAACCGCTCACAGATCTGATGGGTATGAAAACTCCCATACCAAAGCCGCTCACAGATCTGATGGGTGCAAAGCCAAGTCTGGACTTCTTTGTGTGATACATGATGTGGAAGTTCTGCTGTTGATTCCCTATTATCGAAAGAGTAGATCGAGGCGTACCCAAGATCTCCAAACAATCAACATCTTTAGGATCAAGTCTGATGAAGTAGTTTTCAATAGGGAAAGTCCAGACTATTCCATCTTCAAATAGAATTGCAAAGTTAGGAAACTCTACTTTCTCCACCCCAAGGCAAAATCTCCGGTCGTGTTCGACCAATCACTGTACCAGTAGAAGTAGGGGCAGGACTAGTTATCGGCCTTGCAAGAGGTTGTGGGGGATCAGGGGAGGAGACCAGCTGACAGCGAGGATCACGACAGGTGACATTCTGGAAGGATGACGATTCCTACGGATTGTATGGGGGGCCATTTTGCTCGAAGCAGTCATGGCAAGGAAGACATTGTATCCAGTTGAGATCGCTACCAATATCAAGAATCAGAGAGAAATGCTTGGGAGGAGTACCTACTAAAGCATCCATGTAGTACTCGCCTGACTTGAGGCTGACACCGAATTCTAGAGCTGCCACAAGTCTTCCGGCTGATCCACTTGTGTTAGATTCCGGTGCAACCACAGGCTTCAGCCCTACTGACTTCTTCTTTGTTAACCTTGAAACCATGTTCTGGTTCATCCTCTCTGTAATCCTTCTAAAAAGGGTCCGGATTATGGTCAAGTCTCTATGGTTGGATTAACGTATTGACTCCTTTTTCCCAGCTTCATTTCCATGAGTCATCGATCTATGTTTGAGGTGAAGCTTCACCGTTGGTTTACTGGATGGAGCTCCTACTATCTTATCTCTGTCGTCATCACCATCTTCTTCCTCTAAAATGGTTGCTTCTGTTGGTTTATGCGAAGAAGTCTTCGTCTTTGTGAGACGACACCATGTATTTTCCAAAGCTATGACTGAATTGAAGCTTAGGTGATCGGGGAGTTCAATACCAATAAGAATAGAAGAACCATTGGACTTAAGTCCATGTTGGCTAGAAACGGCAACAGTGACAATCAGGATGAAGAAAATCTTGGAAAACATCATGCTCTCTTCTTCTTCGTTTACAAAACTCCTCCTACATGAAAATCTTCAAGGGGAATAAAGTAGACCAGGTAATTAAAACATAAAATTAATTGAACTCCAATTCAAAGTAGATATTTTTGCAAAGGAAGAAGAAGAAGAACAGGAAGAGATGTATTAGTTTGTCAAGATTCAATTAGTTTCTTGATAAAGAAACTAATACCCGTACTTTAAATCGTGTACTTTAGGCCATTTCCCGACGACACATTTGCCTGACATCACCGGCGTGAGGGAGTTGGTTCTCGATGTCTCTGTAAACGCAAGTATGAACAATGGTTCCTACTTGCTTTGCTCGATGGGTTATTTTAATTATTTTATTCAATCGAAATAGTACTAGGGGTATTTAAGACTTTTTATCCTCTAATCGACGAAAATCTGTCGAATACCAAATTGTCCCAAATTGAAAGTTCGGGTACTAGATTGTCATGATTTAAAATACGGGTACTAAATTGGCACTCGGCCTAAAGTACAGGGCACCCATCGGGAATTTTCCCTAATAATTATTCATCGTTGAAGACTAGCGCTGTGTTTGGTTTGAAAGAAAAGATAGGGAAACCCGGTAGTTCTCATATTTTCTTTCAAACCAAACACATGCCTAGGCGAATTCACATCGTCTGCCCTAGGAAAAAAGAAACAGTGAAAGGGGGAACCAACTTTTGCCGCCAAATTCCATTCCCGCCACTTGATAGTAAGAAGCGCGCCATCTCTCTCTCTCTCGCGCCCCCTTTTCTCCCTTCCTCGTCATACACGGAAGTCGGAACCAAACCAGAAGAAGCGATGGAGACAAGATCGACCTCGAAGAAACGGAAGTCCTCGTCCATGGACTCCTTCACAGGGATCTTCACTCGGAGCAGGTCCGAGATCTTCCTCCACCGCAACAGATCAGGTCGAGCTCGATCCGATTCCAAATGCCGAAATAACCACATTGAGGTGGAATGGCCCAACTGGACTCGGATAAATCCTAGACTGTCCAACGAAGAAGCTTTCGATAACGAAATTGCTCGTATTTCCATCAAGGATCTTCGGACTAGACGGGTTTTCTCTCCTGCTTCGATTCCTGTTGAGTGCTATTCAGACGAAACTGTCGACAGTGAAGAAATTGAGGATGCCGAAAAACCCAAGTTGTCTGATAATGGAGGGGCTGAGGCGTTGAGTGTGGAGGCTTCACATAGTGAGCAGAAAAATGATCGAGACGGTGAGATTTCTTGTCGGGGAGATGCGCCCACGGAAGATTGTATTCAGACAACACCTCCGGATACTGATGTCTTCTGCAGATCGGAGGTGGATGAGACCGAAGGCAACACAATTGGGTTTGAGATACAGAGTGCTGATTGTAGTTCAGAGAACCCATCAAATAGAAAGATTTCTGATAGAGATTGTTATGCTGGTGAAAGGTTTTTCCGGGTCGAGAAGGATAAAAACAATCAACCGAACGCTAGGAGTAGAATGGTAACTGTATAGCCATTTCTGATTTGAAATTTTAAGTTTAATAGATGCCATTCAGTTACTTCCAGTAGATTATGAGCTTAATTTTGTGACTGCAAATGTTGGATAATCTGATGGCAGGACCTGAATCCTGAGCCTTTCGCACCAACTATCCCTTTCTAACCACCAAACCACTTGCCTACCCAAAAAATAAAAAGCGTCAGTGCTTTATATGCACGCCATGCTTTTTGTAATATAAGCTTATTGTTTTTCTTCCCCTCTCTCCTGATGACTTGGAGTAGAGCTTTATCTGCAGAAAATGACCTCTTTATTTTTGCTTTCTGGTGTGCCTAAATGCTCCTATAATTTTCTTATTACTCTTTGTTTTTTTTATAGGAACAAACCAAAAGAAAAGAAAAAAAATTGAAACTTTTCTTGTTTCAAATTTCAATAATAAACCTCTTGGAAAAGCACTAGAAGGGGACGAAAAAAATATTCTGCTATATGTTTTGGCCTATGTTTGTTAATGTCTTTCCATAAATGATATACAAATAGGAATTGCGATTTTGCAGGAGGGACTTGTTCCATGTTCACGACTGAGGCTATTTAAGACCCCTAGTTCCTTCAGCTACAGAAGATTGTTGCCATTTCTTATGGATCTTGCCAAAGATAATTCCAGTAATTTCTATCTTCTTTATCTGTACTTTTTAATTTTTCTGATAAATTATCAAGAAGATTAATTTTCTCAGAACTCAATACTTGCAGATGCTTTGGAAATTCATCCATGTCAGAAAGTTGAGAAGGCTGAGGAAAGGCTTCTTCCAATTTCAGTCACTAAATCTAGGGACATTCTCTTAAATGGAACTAATGCAGAAAAATTTCCCATGGAACATCATTTTGATGATCTGCGTGTTACTCCAACCATCAAGTCAAGTGAATCAACTCCATCTACTGGTTCATCTGAAGTTGAGCATTCCAATTTGGTATCTATTCAACAACCCATTATTGAACCTCATTTACAAATTTCTCCTGATACCCCTCTTGTTTCACCAGTTTGTGGTTCAATGATCAAGATAACCCCTGATTCATACAGTGAATGTACACCAAAAGTTCAACAGGTGATACCAGATGGATCCAGTAGGTTGGAACCTGGCCATCATGCTGTTGATTCCATTCATGAAACAGATCAAGTGAACAATTCATCACATTCTTCTGTTTGTCCTGAAGCTTCAACAATAGATAAAGGTGCCCTAGAAGTCCCTTCTTGCTTGCCTTCTGAAGTTGAAGATGGCTTTGTAACGCCATTACCAAACTTAATTACAGACATGAATCCTGTTGCTGCAGTCAGCATTCATCAGGATTCATCTGGTGTTGGTAAACTGAAGGGGATTCTCAAGAGAAATCCACGAGGATGCAGAGGGCTTTGCACATGTCTAAATTGTTCTTCTTTTCGTCTTCATGCGGAGAGGGCATTTGAATTTTCAAGGAATCAGATGCAAGATGCCGAGGAAGTAACTGCATATTTGATGAAAGAACTGTCTTGCCTGAGAAATCTATTGGAGAAATGTATTGATGATTCAAAGGATCAAGCTGTTCTTCAAGTTAGTCAGGTGAATATAGAAAAGACTCTAAGGCTTTTCTATGATGTCATTTCTCTTGGTGATTGCTCAGCATTGGTATGGTTGTCTAATAGATTTTGCACTTGGCTGTTGTTCTATGCTTCATTAGTTTTTTTTTTTTTCCTTTTGTTTTTGATAAATGAATGCTTCATTAGTTCTATACCCATTAATTCCTATCTTGGTTAGAATTCTTTGAACCGTATGTTGAGTACTTGAATTGGGAAACAAAGATAGTGCTGTTGAATCTCTATTTTTTGATCTTGTATCCTAACATGCCACATAGCTTGAAAGACTAAAAACTTTTTTTTTCTGAAGATAAAATCAAAATTTTATTAAAAGAAAAAGAATATAACAAGAAGGGTGACAAGCACATACCTGAGAGGATAAACACAATCAATGTGATCTTATAATCAACAAAGAGAACAAAACACATCTTAAAACTAAAACCAATCTTAGCCCCAACCAACAACTTCCATTACTCAATAGCAGCAACACCCTAGATCCAAAAGATGACTACAACAACAAACAAATTTCAAACCCACCCCAATTAAAGCACCCACTTATCAGAATCCCATACAGACAGGTTCCACCCAAAACAAGATAAACTGAAACCCTGCAAAACCACCACCCTTCAATTTTGACCACACCAGCAAAAGCATAAAAAACTCTCAACCAGCCAGGATCTTCTACGACCTTCAAAACCCCAACCTGAACTGAATTACTTGGCTATGTTGAACTCGATTGCCACAACCTCACTATATCTCAATAACTTTTTTAGGTTTCTTCACCTTCTTGATAGACTCCATGCCACTGATGCTTCCTCTTGATCTGGCAAATACTTTTGACACCAGAAAATTTTGCTGATGCTTAAACCTTTTAACACATTTCACTGCATTAAAGTTCTTAACATCTTTAGCACTGTAAGTAATCCTTTCCAACTCCAAAACTGCATTATTTTCAAAATTCTTGAATTCCACTCCCCGGCATCCTTCTTTATTGACCACTCCACCATTTCCAAATTCCAACTGATCCCATTCCATCTTGAACCTCCTCTTCTTCTTAATTGGAACCATCCTCATCATGAATTTGACTTCTTTTCCTCTTGATCCCTCTACTCTAGGTCTTTAAACAACTTCCTTACAAATTGTTCACTCCCTAGAAAAACCAAACCCCAAAGTCTTACTAACCTCCACTTCTTTATCCACCACTACCTTTAATTCAACTTCTTTTTCAGTTGTATGTATTTCATCCAAGACATCCTCATCTGAATTATTGTCCCCTTCTTCGTCTTCTTTACCATCAGCTATAAATTCTATAACTCATCTTCCTTTTGTAAACCCTAATCTCCTCACCCTTGTTCCTACCTGACACATCTACACCATTCTCCAAGTTAGTCCCCTCCCTACTGTCTTCCATTTCCCTTGACACCTCATCCCCATCTGATTCAGCAATTTCTGCATTTGTCCCACTTGCCTCTCTTGCCTCATTAACACTCTGAACCTCCATTGGTTCTACTGCCCCCTTTCTTATTTTGCCAAGCCCCCATCATCTCTAAACGCATCACTTTTCTTCTTGAATCTCCTCAGTCCTCACTTGTTCCCTCTTCCATAACACCAGCCCCACCTTCTTCACCTCCACTCTCTTCTCCTAGTACCACAAATCCCTCTTTTTTAATTTTCACCTTTACCATTATTATTAGCCACCCCACCCGTTGCAACTTCACCCTCCTCCCTTCCAGCTTCCTGAATACTTGATTTTTCACATCCGCCCTTCCCTCTTCCTTGATTCCTTCAATGACCCCCTTTCATTAACTCCTTTGCCAAAACATACCTTATGAGATCTTATCTCACTTCTAACATTTCCATTGCGAGAGCTCTTTCCTACACTATTACTAGTTTGGCTTGATGCCACTAAATTTTTTACTTCTTCGATCTTCTTTCCCAGCCGGTCAAACTCCCCTTGTTTATGATTAATCTAGAACTCCATGTCTCTTTGATTTGCTGCCACATGAATTTTTCTTCTAATCTTTGAAGTTTGAACATTTTCCTTTAACATCACTGCTAACCTTGCTCGAACTCACCTAATAGACTCTACTCTTTTCTAACTCATCTTCTTTCTCTGTAGATTAATGTAGTGATACACCATACATTCCTAGACTCTACTCTTTTCTAACTTATCTCTACCCCTCTTGTATAACTCCTCGAGTTTCTTGATATTCTTCCTCTTATTATGTTCAGCTAGCTCAAGACCCTAAAGAAAAAATCCCACCCAGCCTAGTGCCAACCACCTTGCTTCCCATGTTTACTTGCCCAACTTGTAGACGTGGAGTCTTAGACCCACTTGGCCCAATACTCGCCTCATTAGTAATATGTGTGATGTTAGTTGTGGGATAACCTGATTCTTTTGAATTAGATCCTTCAATATTTACCAAATTACCCCTTTCCTCGTTTGACCCTTCGTCTTCAACATCTCCATTTTGTCTATTCGTCTTCCTCATCATGATGCCCCTCTATTCTTTTAAAAGTTCTTCCTCTGTTTTTCAACCAAGACGAATGTTGGATCAATATCTTCAACTACCACATGTAAAGGATTCACCTACAAAGAACAAATCAATTTTTGTCGGTCTTAAATGCACCTTTTCCATTTCAATTAGGTGGAATGGAATCTTTTGATCAATAACTGAATATTTTATTAATGTAAATTAAGGCTACATGTTACAATCATCAGTGGGAGAATGCTTTTATCTCCCCATACAACTTTTCCTTACAATTGTGCCCAGAATATTTGCTTCCTCTCCACCCCTTGCTTAGCTAATTCATCATCTGTACTATTAGCAGTCCTTTGAACCTGTCAAAATCTCATTTCCATCTCTCTAGATGGTAATAGAAACTTTTTTAGCTTGTTCCTATACTGCCATAAAGCTGCCTCCCCTTTTGCAACCACTCCAACATCAGCTTAGAGTTTCCCTCAATTAGTTTGTTAACACTCACCATTCTTGCTCTTTGTACCCCTTCCATAACAGCCATGACTTCCGCTGTTAGAGAATCTCCTACTCTAGTAGGTGCTGAAAATAACGCTATTATAACCCTCACTCATCTCTAAAAATGCCTCCAATCCTTGATGGTCCTGGATTTCCCCTACTATTACCATCAAAGTTGAGCTTGATGAATCCTTCCATTGGAGGAGTCCAGATTGTGTAAATCAGGTTCTTTTTATAGAAGTTCTTGTTACCTCTCTCAACTCTCTTAAAATGTCATCTACCAAAACTGTTGAGAAGCTCCAAGGACTTAGCCCAATGAGCCACTCTGATAGTGATACACTCTACTACTGCTTCTGTAGTTCTTTCTTTCCCTTCGAAGATTTGAGCATTTCTTTCCTCTCAAATTGTCCATAATACTTCTGCTCTAGTACATTCCACAAGATCCTTCCCCACTTCTTTGGCCATCTGAAAACAGAAGGTACAAAGACATATGACATGCTAGGAGCAGTCAACCACCTGCAACCAAAAAGAGAGAGAAACCAATTCCAAATACAAGAAATAAAAGGACAGGATATTAACAAGTGATATCATGTCTCATCATTAGCTTTGCAAAGCACACACCAAGCGGGAGAAGGTAAACATTAGGTTTCCTTTTTTGTAGAAGGTTACAAGTGTTAAGTTTTTCATGGAACAACCTCCCAACAAAGTAGTGTAGTAGATGCTAGGATATTTGGTTTGGGTGAGTAGAAAAAATAGAGACAATGGAATCAACATTAGCTCTTTTTGGGAGCCTAAGTGCATTTGTACTATTGCACTAATAGGGATAGATCTACTTGCAAGTTGAGGGTTCTAAAAATGCTTGGGAGTGGTGGAAAAGGAATTGGGGTTGAGGTAGTGAAGAAAGACCTGAAGAGACTCAGTTTAAAAGATGATATGACCCTTGATAGAGTGGACTGTTGAAACATTATTAGTGTAGCTAACCAAATGGGAAAAGTTTTGTTGAGTTCAGTTGTATGTTAATTTTCTTTATCTTGAAGTTAAACCTGAGACTATTTAAATGTAAAATAGTATAAATGCTATATTTGTTATGGTTGTTATTTACTAAAAAGATGTGTTCAATGAGGCTTAAGCTTCAGTGCTTCACATGTTAAAGGTTTCACCCATGCTTCAAGTAAATGAAATACCTTACTTCATGGTTTAGCTTTCTAAAACATTGTCAAAGATAATGTTGAGACTACCATTTGTATGACCATGATGTCTACTTAATTTTTTTTCCCAAAACAGATTTTTTCCATATATGGGATAATATTTGCACAGTTGGTTTGAAAAATTAAAATACCTGTATCATATGAATAACATATAAACCAGAGGAAGAATAAATGGGCATTAATCAAGTGTGGAAACTAGAAAGATGTTGTAGTATCTTATTATCATCCTATGGCTGACTGGTGGGAATAGGTGAGGGTTGAGCTTTTGTGACTAAGTCAAGAGTTCAAGAAACTCAATGTTGATGGTTGTACAGATTATGATAGGTTGAGGGCAGGTCTTGGCGCAATGGTTGGGTTGCTCCATTGTGACCTGGGTGACCAGGGTTCAAATCTTGGAAACAGCCTCTCTGTATGTACAGGGGTAAGGCTGCATAGATCTGTCCCTCCCTAGACCCCACATTGGTGGGAGCCTTGTGCACTGGGCTGCCCACATAGGTTGAGTGCAGGACAAACTATAAAAGCCCTTGATATCTAAGCCATTGTATTTTTAGTTTTCAAAATGCAAACTACTCAGGCTGGATATGTCAGTTAAAATCAATACAGTATTGCATTGTGTATACAAAAAAGAAAAATTGTTAACTTTTTAATGAATTTCATGGTTTCTTGCTTTGATCCTCTAATGGGCAATGGCTTCCTAAGTTAAACCAGTTTCTCTAATGATGGTAAATATTAATTTAGTAGATCCTCGTTTACTGGACCAATCATCAACTTATATGGTAGCTCACATTTTGAGCCTTTTATGAGATTAATCCTTAATCCAGTCCCTGCATGAAATTCAAACTTCAGTTTGATGGTAGCTTCACGGGGATCCCTGGCTCCCCAAATGCAGCCAGGTATTGGTAGAATTAGCAAGGCAGATGGTGCTACATTATTGGCTTTTAGTGGGCCAATAGGCCAGGCTGATTTCATGGTTGGCCTTGGAACAGCCAAAGTTCTTTAAATAACTTCTTTAAGTATTGAAGGAGACTCAAGAAATGCTATTTCATGGACTCATTGTGCTTAAAGTCGTCCTTAGAGATCATCTACTTTCTCAAAGAAGTTGGAGAAATTCCATCTCAACTGAATGGTCAGATTAGATGGATTCCAAGGGAATTAATTGGTATCTGATAGATTAGCTGAATCAGGTGTGCAAGTTCATTTTTTAGAGTGGAAATACTGTCTGTGTAGTGTTTTGGTTGGGCTGTCTGTTCTTTGACTTTTTGCCTTTTTTGTCTATCTTGTACATCCTCTCATGTATGATCCATCTATTGGATTTTGTTTCTAATGGAAGTTACTCTTTCTTGGAAAAGAAAGCTTATTTGGAGGTTACTTGATTTACAGTTGTTGTTTGCTGATGCTGGTTGCCTTCCTGAAACAATTGGGCCCTATGAGCTCTTTGTGAATCATTTTGCAAAGAGTGGAACTTGAGTTGTTTGGGTATCTATTGAGGTTTAGTGGAGAAGACTTATGGTAAATGCAATCCTTTTTGGACTAGTGGGGATAATTCCAGTGAGTATTTATCCTTGCAAAGTTCCACCTTACGGGACGACTTTCCATGTTCACCAAAGTTCAAAGTTCCACATGCCAAAGATGGCATGATATTCTTCATATAAATAAGTGATGAAAAAGAGCTTCCAATTAGGTAATACTATCTAGATCATCCCTAATAATCAGGATGTCACCAACATATAGAAGAGAAATGTATAACCTGTAGAGTTTGAGTGGATAAATAGAGAACTGCCGTACTGTATTTGCACTTACCAAGCAACAATGATAACTAGTCAAAATCATTTGAGCCAGGGCCTAGGGTGCTTACTTTGTTCTATGAAATGATGTTTTCAATTTTCAGACCATTGACTTAATGGAATAACAAGGTGGAGGCTTCATACAAATTCTCTTTGGAATGCCGGTGAAGGAAATTCTAATATCCATCTGAAAGATGGCCTGTTATTGAATGGCAAATATTTCTAGAACAACACATTTAGTAGCCATTTTAGCAACAGGAGCAGAAGTTTCTTTATAATCTATCCAATACTCTTGCTTGAAGCCATGTACAACCAAACATGCCTCATATCTGTCAATTACCCCACCAATTACCCCATTTGACTTAACATTTGATGTTTTTTTTATAAATAAAAAATCATGTTCCATTAATTCAAATATTTGTTACATGAAAATCCCCTTAGAGAGGTGCGAGGTGCCGCCTCTCCAAACAGAAAACACATAAAACAAAAGTTACAGTTGCGCCCAGAACAATGTTTCCCTATTTGTTCCTTGTTTTGCCAAAATATCAACAAATGCATTAGCTGATCTCCCAACCCACTGTACTGTTATAGACATATTCCTTGTCAGCCATTTGAATTTCTTTAACTCATTTTTGTAGCCTCAAGTGACATCCTCCGGATTATTTAACCAGTCCACCATCTTAGAGTCCTCTTCAATCAGAAGCTGCTCCACACCCATTTCTTTTGCAAGAAGTATTCCTTGTATTGCAGCTAACAGCTTTGCCCAAATAGAGTTCCCAACACCTAATGGGCCAGAGTAGAGTAAGACAACCTCTCCGGCCTCATTCCTCAGTACACATCCCAACCCAGAGGGGCCGGGTTACCTTGGCTGTTCCCATCAAAATTCAGCTTCAATGAACTGAGAGGAGGGGGGACCTAGCTAGTCAATACCCTTACCTTGAAGGAGGAACAGCTTGCTACTAATAACCAATCCCTCCAACAATCAGTAAAGTAGAAATGGTTAAACAATTCCAGAGTCTTTAACCAATGTATTGACCTGTACATAATGCAATCCTTAAAAGCTTGACTGCTTCCCTTTTCTTGGATGATCCTAGTACTCCTTTCTTCCCAAACTGTCCATAACAAGGCTGCTCGTCCACACCTCCACATTTTCCTTCCTCCTTTATGGGGCCAAGAGAACATAGAAAGGTTAAAGATTGTGCTTACTTCTGTTGGCATATCCCAACTACACCCAAACAAAGATAGAAACCAAACCTAGAGCTCTGCAGTGACACTACAAGATAAAAATAAGTTATTACAATCCTCACCATGAGATCTGTAAAGAATGCACCAGTTTGGTGAAATACAAAGGAAGGTTCTTCTCTTTTGTAAGTTATCCATTGTTTTTACTTTACCATGCCACACTTCCCAACACAAAGCCATAGCCTTGGGGGGAACTGGCCTACACCAGACTTCTTTGGAAGGGAAACTTTGTTTGTTGAGAGGATGTTTGTCCAAGGAATTTGAAAAAGGAACCGCAAGGAAAAGACCCATTGGTGTGAATGGCCTAAATCCTCTTATCAAGCTTCGAAGGATCCAACCAAACATTGTCAAGGAGACAAAGAAGAGTGGACAAACACTCAACTTTCTCGTCCCTTAACCCTCTACGTAAACCAAAATCCCAAGACAACGCCGAAAAATTTAAAACTGACAGAAGGAATTTTGAGACCACCTCTTTTTTATACAAAGAAATAGAGTACGAGGATGGAAAAAGGTCTTTTAGAGGGAGATTTCCAGCCCAAATGTCATCCCAAAACCGAATAGAATTACCAGAATAAGCATCATACCTGACACAACTGAGGAACTACGAAAGAATTTTATGAATTGCTTTCCATGGTGTAGTCAGGTTAGCCCTCCTTGATGCGCCAACATCCCATCCACTCTCTGAACATCCATGAATACTCTTCACCACTTCGTGCTAGAGTCTATCTCGCTCCAAAGGCCACCTCCACAATCACTTCCCTAACAAAGCTGAATTCTTTTTAAGCACATTCTCTAGCCCTAATCCTCCTTCCTCTTTGCTGCTTCTACCCACAACCCTCCAACTGATTAAGTGGTCTTTTTTACCTTCTCCCGGTTCCCAAAGAAAGTCCCTCATCAATTTTTCCAGTTTCTTCGCTTCCCTAGATGGTATCCTAAAGACAGGGAGGTAATAAGTAGGTAGGTTCATGAGGATAGCTGTTATCAAAGTGATCCTCCCACCCAAATAATAGAAGAAACAAGAACATGGTCGTCATTATCAATGAAAATTTGGATCTTAGTGTCAATGGGTTCTTTCCAATGTGGGATGATTATAGCTTCTTTATATGTAGTGGGAATATCTATAGAATCAAGAACAAAGAAGCCAAAATGCTCTGGAGGTTGAGAAATGCAAGATGGATGACAGAGAACAATAGAATTGGAAAGAACAGAAGAGGGTTGTTCACTTGTCTCTTTGACACATCCATCTAATCATAGCTATTAATCCCCCTCTCCACTCTCGCAGATCCATGGCGGGGAACAAAATAAACAGCTTACTGATATTTTTTCTCAAACGAAAGTTCATTTAGGGATTTGAATTTTTCCTTAGGCTTATTATGCATTTCTCTTTTCATCCAGTCTTACATGTTCATCTGTCCCACCTATCCACTTGATGTGTCTTCCATCCTTGGCCCTTTTTTCTGATATGCATATAAAGAACCTGCTTTGCTCCATATGCTGTTTAGTGAAGCAGTCCATAGTTGTCAAGACATCACCTAGGCGACAAGGCTCCGGCATGGGTTACTAATAAGTGTGTTAATATATTTGTATTATATACTATATATAATTTATACATTGTTTCGAGGTTTTACTACACATTTAAAAAACCCAGGGGTTTTGAGAAGAGAAAAAAAGAATAAGTATTGTTATCTATCTCTTACATTAAATAACACAGCCGTTTCATCCTTGTTTTTTTCTCTTTTACTTTTTCTCTTGAATATTATCATATAATGTTATTGCTTTCTTTAGCTGCTAATTTGATATGAAACTGCTCTATAAATGCTTATTATATTAGTATTATTTTTGAAAGTACTGTAATTTATATATTTGAAATACTAGTCCTAGATATGATGATTTGCTATGTTTTGAGAGGAAAAGTAATGTTCTTAATAAAGAAAATTGCTTTGCAATTAACATGCATTCTGAATGGTATATAAAACTAAGGAACTAGGTAAAATTTATTTATTTTTCTTTTTTTAATGAAATTGTTATCTCCTAGGCATGACCTAAGCAACTAGGTGCTCCACTGTCACCCGATGCCTTGACCACTGTGAAGCAGTACAAACAATACAGGAATCTCCCTGTTGCAAGATGGTTGAATCTCCACCAGACCACCATCTATTAATAGGTAATTTACCTTAGAAAGCCTTGACATAAGTCCAGATTAATATCTTCAAAGTGCCAACTTTGGATACCTGCTATTGGAGGGGAAAATTGCTAATACAAGGTGAAACATAGGGTTGACATGGACTGGGGATTGAATATGAGCCCAAAGTGTTCCCTACTAGTGGAGAGTTCTGATCAGTCATCATCCATCCACGTGATAGTAGGGTAGATCATTTAGTGAACAAACTTTGTTTACTCAATTAGGAAACCTCTTTGTTCTCTAAAATAGATTATGTGTGATTTTATATTCAAGTACCTACCTTTAAAGTTTTAGTTTACTGAAATGCAGGTACAAGAAGCTTGCAGCAAAGCGTCCGAAGCAGAAGGGTTGGCTAAATGCCAACTAATGCAAATGAGACAGGATCTCAATATTCACTGCAGAATGACAGTAAGCCTTCTGTTAATTACTTTTTCAATATAAACATTAGAATCTTCCTTAAACTGTCATAAAGCTCATTTTGGCTTGACCTATGCTTTTGACAGTGCTTGCAGCGACCAAGGGTGAATTTTGTCAATTCTTCTGAAGTGAAACCCAGTCAAAGTATTGGGGCTTTCCAGTCAAAGAGTAAATCTGAAAACAGTGGATGAAGAGGTTATTTTGTGCCGTTCATGAGAGTGCAATTGATCTTCGTGGAATTGCTATTATCATTTAGGCCAGTTTCATTTTGAGGCTGGCGGTGCCTTGTTCTGTTGTAGCAGCTTAACTATCAGGGGTTATACGTCACCCATTGGAAATTGCAAAAAGTTGAAAGCACTTAAATTTCATTGATAAGGGCTCCTTAAAGTAATGGATGTTAGTCTCGAAGGTAGGATTCCTTTGGGTTGGTTGGTAGTAAGTACAAGGTACTAGAGTTGTTTTTCTCTTCCAACCATTTGTGGAGATCCCATCCTCTTCAGGAAATTGCAGCAGCTTAGAAACCTTCGAAGCTGACAAATTGCTTCAAGGATATGGTCCCATCCCATCCGTTGAACTGCTAAGTCAGCTTTCTACTCTTGGTTGAAACAATTTGAATTGGAGACTACACCCAAGATTGGAAATGTTAGTCTTTGTACTGAATAGGTCTGTCTGAACACTAACTAGCTCCAAGATGAAAACCCAAGCAATTTGGTCAAGTTGTCATTCAATCTGAGTTCCTCGTTGTAGATGCAATTACTATTTATAGGGAGGGAGCTATTTCCATTCGTATGCAGATTGTTTTCTTAATTACTTATCAGCTTCTTGCATTGGTGGCTCAATACGAAAATGTATTGATGAGGTTAGCAAGTTAGGCCCCGTTTGGCATTCATCCGGATAATTGTTTCCAGCGATTTTAGGGATTCTACGGATGAGAATAGTGTTTGGGTTTGACTCGTCCTATGAATCGATTCATTTCTTTATAGAAATTTCTCTTAAAATCACGATTCTCCGAATCCATAAAAAAGTCCTTAAGAATGAGAATTCTCATCCTATACAATTCTCCCTACGTTGTCCTTAAAGTAAACGAACATGCGTGTGCTTGTTCTACGTGCGAACATGGGCACTTCGATAATTTCATATTTAAATTAGAGCCCAGTTCGACAAGCATAGAAACACAGCTCTTGGCCATGTTTCTTTTAGGGCGCTCCGCGCAAACTTCCTCTGCAACAAGCTTCCCAAATCCAAGTAAACTCGAACTACTATGTTTTTTGTCAACATTTTTTCTTTCATTTTTCTTCCTCGTCATTTTTTCTTAGACATTTTCCCCAAATCCAGCTAAACACGTATTCTTCCTCAGACGTCCGACCGGACTCAAATGCTCCGTTCGAGCCAATAGCCAACCCAATGGCCCAGATACCTTCATCTCCTTCACTTGATGGTTAAGTACTATTCACCAACAATTAGACTATATAACCAAGTAGTTACCTGGGTTTGAAAGGCCAAAACAGTGAGTAAAGGGAGTGGCATGTGGCAATTTGGAATCTGAAGTCGTTGAGAGGAGGTGACATTAAGGCCCTGTTCACTTTTTGGTAAATTATTTACCTCATGTAAATAAGGCAATGACCATTTTAGCCATAAAAATCTATTATTAAAAGGAGCATTTTTGTTCCATTCAAGTGTTGACAAGTTTCCGGTAGATGGAAAAGTTATTTACCCATCTAGGAGATGGGTATCACTTGTCCTGATAAGTGATACTCAGGAAAATAAACTTTCCTGATCCACACATGAATCTGGAAAAAGGACAAGAGATTTTTGATCCATAAGAACCAAAATCCCATTGACCAACTTTCTCCTCTCTCCAAATCCAAAAAACAATGCCCCCCAATTATTATTAGGAGTGTGCTGAATGGCAGCAACGGTTTTAGAATCTGAAGTCGTCATATGGGAAAATATTATTGGGTTTGAAATGCTGCAATGGCAAAGTAGAGAATGATAAGCGGCAGTTCGTTGAATCTGAAGTTATCGGAGGGGAGAAGTTGATGTCGCAGTGCATTTAAAAACTAATATCGAACCCCATACCGGATGCAAGTTCTTTTTCGAAAAGAGTTCCACACAGACCTATTTTTACCGTCTTCTTCACCCGCATAGTAAAAATGAGTTCTGCAACAAACCAATTATTTTTTTTTTCATTTTTTCATCGTTTTTCAATTTTTTTTTTCACGCCTATTGATTTGGAGATGCATATACAACTGTTTTAATTGTAGAAAGAATTATTAAGGGAGTAATCAAAAGGAACTGAACAAAACATCAGACTATACAAAACAAACTTGAAAAAACCGATTTTTTCTTTGGGGCACCCTCAATGAAAGTTGTCTTTGACCCACCCCTCTAAACAAACTTGAAAAAACAAAAGAATCAGAAAATGACGATATGAAATGGTTTGAAACCTTCAGTGGCTACGGACCTTCTTGTAAATTTAAATCTCTCTGTTTCAGGTTTGTTGTTCCTCCTCTAAGCTTAAAGGGTGATCAATGGACGTACTCCTCTGAAAGCTTATAGCAATTTCAGTCCAAAATATAAGAAAAAAGAGCAATAGTCAAACAATTGACAAGTTTGAAAGAAAACATGAAGATTTGAGAGAGAGAATAAGAGTTTTAGGAGAAACCATGAGTATTAATTAGAAGCAATAATTTAGGAGAGATTTTTRGGCCCTCTTTGGCATCCATCCGGATTCACAAGTTACTTCTCTTCTGATTTTCACATATAGTGCCCAGCATTCTTTAATCGAAAACATTTCTGCTTACTACTATAGTTATATATCAATCATCTAAAGAATTGATTCCAAAAAATAAGGTGATGTTAAACATGATCCTATTTCTTAAAAACAGGAATCAGATGATATGCCAAATACATTTGATAATTTTTTGAATGAAAATTCTCAGAATCCATTATGTACAAAGACCCCTTTACTATGGGATGTATTATGACCGTGAGACAAAGACCCCCTTTCCTTAGTTTTCCATTAAAATCTGTCATTTTAATCTCCATACTACCCTTTTAATAAATATTTGAACAATTGAGAAAAAGCACTGTTCATCTTGCTTCTCAAGCTCTCCTTTCTTCACTGGCCGCCCAGAAAACCACAGGTCCAGAACAGCTCTTCAAGCTCTCTCTCCAAGTTGCCCTTACCGTGCTCTCAAAGCTCGCTTCTTTACCCACAAAGCTTATCCCCAAGGTCAATGGCGATCCTCTTCTCGTGGCCACGTTGCGTGATTGCCTAACCCAGTTTGAAGACTCTATCTCGTCCATGCACCCTGGTGGCCAGAGACTGCTGGAGGAGACGGTTCTGTGGATCCGATTGGTCATACATACCTTGTTGTATGATGGGTCGAGTAAAGCTAAAGACCCATTTAAGCACGCAAGGGTCTGTGTGCGTATTGTCAGACTCCATTAATAGTCGAGTAAAGCTAAAGATGCAATCCAGCTTTAAAAAATTGGTGATGGTGGTGGTCCGTTTTGAGGCCCAGTAAATTCAGACTCCATTAATAGTGATTTTCTATATTAAAAGTTCAAGGACTTGAAGGGATAGTCCCTGACCGAGTAATCCAAGGAAGCCATATTTTTCTCTGAGACTCATCCATGAATTAGTCGGGTATGGCGTGATCATTAGAGATCAGAAGAGCACTCTATCAGTCAATAGACACAGTGCAAATGAAATTGAAGCCACTTTAAATAAAGAATCATTCTGAGAATCAAATGCGGCTTACTGATTGCAGTCATCAAATACGGCATTCTAAGCATCAAATGCATAAAGAATCACTCTGAGTGCCGCTCCGCTCGGCTAATCTGTTGACCCGAACGACCTAATCAATCACCACCAGGTTTACTTGTAAACTCGGTTGAGATCTTCATTGCTACCCTCAACTCTTCAAGCACTGCTGCAGCGGTGGTGCTGTTCAACTCTTGTAGCCTGTCTAAGCAGGACTGCTCGTTCGTGATTGCCGCACTGAGCCATGTCCTGAGGTCGCTGTTYTTGGAAGCCGATAACAACTTCTCGCAGAGCTCGGTAAGAGCAACTTGGAGGGAGAGCTTGAAGAGCTCTTCTAATCTGTGGTTTTCTGGGCGGCCAAGGCTTGAGAAGCAGGAATTGGGGTGCTGTTCGGGGAAGATGAATAGTACTTTTCTTTCAATTATTCGAATATTTGTTACAAGGGTAGTATGCGAATTGAAACTGTCGATTTCAACGGAAAACTAACGAAAGGGATCTTTGTCTCACAGTCATAATACAGGAGTCTTTATCGCAAAATAAAGTACGAGAGAAATTTTATGGCACAGACCCTCTTGACATTTGTAGATGGAAACAACCTCATTATACTTGCTCTTAACAACAAGGCCAACCTCATTATACCAGATGTTGGCTAATTGCAAAAAGTTGATAGTTGATATTAATAACAGTAAGATGTATACAAAATTCCAAATATCAATACGATACGTTGGATAAAAAAGGCATGCCCATGTCCATGCCAACGGACATAACCATACATGGTGTATTAATTCAATTTCCATGCAACCCGACTTGTGGCATGGTTGGAATGGGCTTTGGTATCGACCATTCTACTCGTGTCAGCATGTACACTTGTATTATGGATACTCTCCAAATTTTGTCTTCTTCCACACCCTTATAACTTCCAATGTTTGCATCGGTGGGTATATATGAGAAATTATTTATATATATCATGTCTTTTACTGCATTATAGGTTTCTCCCTTATATATATCTCGAACTTTTAAAAATAAGGGTTGTTTATTATAACATCCCCTATTGTTTTACGGATTTATTTGACCTTATATTAGTTTTCATTTTACTAGAACATACCCTTATAGTTTACAATCTATTTATTAAATCGACGCCTTTCATTAAAAAGTGTTTGTTTTAATATTATTATTTAAAATAAGTGGAAAATATTTAAGGGCATGGCCCCCTAAGTACTCGTAATACTTCTTTGTAGGCAAAATAAAATTGACCAAATATAGTCAAATAGAGTAGTTGCTTGTGTTCTATTAGGGGCAAAATTGGTATTTTATTTTTATTTTCCTTTAATTTAATTTATCAAATGGGCATTAGGGTCAAAACTATCATTTTCCACTCTCATCTAATGAAAGGTCAATTAAGTAAATCAATTGCAAACTATAGAGGGTGTTTTAGTAAAATGCAAACTATAGGGTATGTTTTAGTAAATGACCCTAAAAACAATTTATATATGGCTTAGTGGTCGGGTCCACATAACATAAACAAGACTTCTCTGGTTGCACTGTTTAGAAAATGACCTGTAGGGGTGTTTTAGTAAATGGCCCTAAAAAGAACTTATATATGGCTTATTGGTCGGATCCACATATGGGCCCACATAACATAAACAAGACTTCTCTCATTGCACCATTTAGAAAACAGTAACACCTCACTTCAAAGCATGAGCTCAGTTTGGAAGGATTACAAATACAAATATGTAGAATACAAATGCGTACAAAATAATACAAAATATAAGGTTTTGCACTCAACAAATTTGTATTTGTACTGCTTCCAAACTGAGCCTTGATATTTTTTGCACACAAACTGTTATTCAAGAAATTCAGAGATACTGGGCCTACAACAAGAAGGTAAAAAAGCTCTGGCAAAGAAGAAAATGACCTCTACTAATTGATTATTGACATGCAAGACCACTTGTACCCATA